TATTATGGCCCCTTCCCCCTAAATCCTTAACGTAGCCCTTGTAGTAACCCTTATAGACCCTTTTAAGAGCCCTTTACAGGAACCTTATTCTAATTATGAAGCCTTCTTCATTATCTGCGAGCCTCAGAGACCCAGAGATGGGTGGCTGGGTGGAGGGTTTTTTCCTGCCTTGAAGCTTCGGCGAGGTCGGGCAAACGTCCTGAAAAAAGGCCTCACATGATGATTTTTTTTGACAAAAACAAGGGGCACCTTATTTTGGGTTTAGGGTTTAGGGTATATTTTCAGGCTTTTGGGCGCAAAGACCCTATTATACAGGGCTTCTGGGCTATTTTGATGCTAGGGTTTTGGGTTCCAGTGGCCAAAGGGACCTTTTTTTGGGGTGTGTCCTTATTACAACAAGGATCCACATGGGGAGTTTTTCCGAAAAGAAGGAGCACTAAGGATCCTACTATTCAGGGTGCTATATTTGGTTTGGGAGTTTTTTTGAAAACAAGGGGTATACCGTATTTGGGGGTCCTTATAAGGATCCTACTATTTAGGATGCTATGTTAGGGTTCCCCCCATTTTCGGAAACCCCCACATGAGCGTGCCCAACTCGGGCGTGAATCAAAAGGCCGCAAGTTCGGATGCCCGATGCAGGCACTCCCCTAGACCTCGCCCGCAGTGGCAAGACCCTGAACCTTGGAGCATGGACGCTCAACGGCTCCAGCCCCCTAAACCCCCCGGGTTTAGGGGGGTTAGGGGTTTAGGTTTTAGGGTTTAGGGTTCCCTAAACGCCCCCCCGTTCCGAAGCAACTCGTCATTTCGTGGCGAGGTCGGCTTCCTAGCGACGGTGAACATCCTTTTCTTGGGCTTCCACGGGCGGCTCGTCCGATCTTTGGAGCTTCGGCTTTTTGGTTCGACGTGTCGGATGTCGGGGTTTGAGATTCAGAGGAATGTAGGGGCCTTAAAATAATCAGAATAGGGTTTGGGGGCCCATTATACTAAACTCGTAATAAGGAACCCCCCCCAAAATAGTATAGGTAATTATTTAGGCTTCTTTATTAAGCCATCCCCGGTTCAAAGGAATGACAGAGTTTGCTCCTTGCGTTTCAATCTCGACGGTTCTGTGATTTTGGACTTTTACCTGGAACTCACACACTGCCGGTCTTGCAAGCTTATAAGACATAAGAGCCTCCATAGCTGGTCAATCTTTATTAGGGAGTTTCCGAAAATTAGGGTACCTTATTTTGGGGTCCATATAATAAGGATCCGANNCCTATTTTCGGAAACCCCCTTATGATCCCTCTAGATCGGCAGGACGCACAAGACCTCAAGCCCAAGTCCAATCATGTAAGATTGCACCGCTGCTGCGACTGTCCTTGCTCTTCTTTCTAATGCAGGTGGCTAACGGTGAAGGCCATGACCACCCTCGAATTCTGTGAGAAGTCCATGAAGACGCAGGGCGGCAGATGTTGTAAAGCTTAATCAGGGCTTTTATGCTTTGGTGATTTCAAGCTTGAGGGATTGGGACGTTGGTGTAGTGCGATGCCGTTAGGCTGTCGAAGCCTTCGTTCGGGATGGTGGGGTGCTATTATAGAGGGCTAAACAGTTTCGGGGTGCAAGAGACCACAGTCATGTATATAACGCTTGTTTTCGTAGAGTCTTTCCACTGGCTCGGGTGCCTTTGTTGCACCTAAGCAAGCGATATCAAGCGATGGTGCACCGAAGCTTCCCAAACCCACGGGCAAAAGCCAAGGCAATTAGAGTTATACGAAATGGCACAAACCCCAGTTCAAGTGCTTGTAACGTGAAAAAATCCCATTTTGCTTAACATAAGTTTTAGATATCCGGGGCCAGAGCTGGGGCAACCACCAGCGTCAATATTGTGGTTTTCCTTGGGGCAAGCCCGGTGTCCAGAATGTAGTCCTAAACCCTAAGCCCTAAACC